TAACATTTAATTTTTTCCAGGAAGTCTGACCACCCCAAATGCCCCACATATGTATTCTCAAGGCATCCCACACTTCCCCCGCCACAGCCATTTAGTTGTCTGCATCCCCACTCAACAACAAGTTCTGGAAGACTATCTATCCTAGGCATTGAAAGTACCTAAAGCCTTTAATAAGCACTCAAAACCCATTTGCTGAACAAATGAATGAGCTCTTTTTAAACATTATCTGGCAGACATATACCTTTGTGAGCATACCTTCTTCCACAGATGACTTTAAGAAGAACCCATTCTGTTGTCATCTGGCTCTGGGGGAAGTCCCGTCTTATTCAGAACTTGGGCCTCATTGACATTTTTTTCTCACAGGTCCCTTCAGTGCAGCACAGAAGGAACACAGGTTCTAGGGGGGACCCTGGCCTAGATTCATACTTCAGCTCTTCTCTAATTAATTATAATCTTAGACATGTTTCTTAATTTTTAGTTGGAATCTAAACCTAATATAAACCTCAGCTCTCCCAGCTGTGAAGAAGGAAAGAGACAATTTCATCATCATCATCCATTTTCTCCAAGGTTGGGGAGAGGGGGAGTTGAAGATAATGTTTGAAAAGCTATAGGTGGGGCCGGCCAAGTGGCGCGATCCTTAAGAACTGGCTTGGGACGCCAGAGGGCCCCGGTTCGGATCCCACATATGAGGGCCAGTGACGCTGCCCTCTACAGCCAAGATGCTGAACAACAGCTCAACCTGGAGCTGGGGGGCTGCAGTGAGTCGCGGGCGACGGCATAGGCTGCAGCCCCTGCTGCAGTGGGTTGCCATGGGCTACTGTGTGTAGCCGGCAGCCAGCGTGAGCGGCCAGCAGCCACAGTGAGCGGCCGTCCAGAAGCCGGCGACTGATCTGCCTCACCCGGGAAGAGCGCAATGATGGTGCCANTGATCTGCCTCACCCGGGAAGAGCGCAATGATGGTGCCAACTTGGGCCAGTGAAGCAACGTCCTCCACAACTAGACTGAAGAACAGAACGACAGCAACTTGTCTGTTCCCCTTCCCCCAATTCCCCAGCACTGTTCCCATCCCCCAATACCCCAATAAAAATCTTTTAAAAAAAAACCAAAAAAAAAGAAAAGCTATAGGTGGATGGATGCTCAATGCCAGTGACAATCCTCTTGTCTTTCTTAGTACTCGAATGTTTGCTCAAGTGGCTCCTTTTTCCCTTCCTTGCTGGGGTCATCTACAACAGCATAGTCAGAATTGCACTTCAGAGTATTTGCCAACCCTCCGGAATCACTCTGTCTTTCAAAGTCTCTTGTCAGGGAATCATATCTATCTTTTTTCCTCTTAATTAAAAAATCTGCCTTCTTGAAGTCTAGAGTGGAAATCTGACATCCCTGGTGATAATGTTTTTTGGGAAAATATAGTTCCCTTCTCCAAGGTTCCCCTAATATCTAAGTTGCAAACAATCTCTCCTTTCTTGGTCAGAATTAAATGCACTTTAATGGTGCTCCTAGTCCTTAGGAAGACGTAACAGCATGGCAGGTAGAAATGGGACAGACATTCTGCTTTCAGGAAAGCAGGGCTCTTGAGAAAGGGAAAGGGAGAGAGAGAGAGAAAGAGAGAGAGAGAGAGAGAGAGAGAGAGAGAGGGAGGATGGGAGGGGGAGGAAAAGGGGGAGGGAGAGGGAGAGGTCTCAGTAGTTGAAGGGTGCCATCACTACTCTTATCAGGGTTCAGGGTTAGTTTGTGACCTAAGACAAGAAGAACTCATAACTATTTCTCCTACCTGGCAAGGCAAACTGTAGTATTTCCTAAAAATGGAATCTACTTGGTTTTCTACTCTTCCCGCCACCCCCCTTCCTATGCCTTCTGGTCATATTGTAATCTGTTGGGTAGGCACAAAGTGCCAACATTCCTAGTAACCGTGTGACTTCTCTTGGAAATGGTCTCCAGGGTCCTTTCCAGGTGCAACGCTTCATGTGATCATAGGAAATGCAAGAATAGGCTCCTTTCATTTCATAAAACAGATACAAAATAATGCAGATATGAAAACACCAAAACAAAAGCGTTGCCTCCATTATCCCCCCCAAGTCCTAAACTTCTTACTAGAATTGCCCAGACGGTGGCAAAATTACTTGATTTGATTATCCAGTCTTCTCCTTACACTGAAGCTAAGGATATGAATAAGAAAGCAGAGAAAGCCCAGTAAGGCAGGAGCCCAGGGAATTCACACACGTGTGCCTCACCCCTCAAACAACTGAGAATTAAGGAGATACTATGCTGGACTGGGGCTTATTAGTTAAGGGTATGTCCAGTCTGGTGACAGCTCATGGGCATTCAAGTCAAGGAGCCCACGATCAAAAAATTCTGCAACTCTGCTGCCCCTTTCTACTCTCCCAGGACCCAATATCTGCCTGATAGTGCCCTCGAGGTTTATGAGCACAGGGTGAGACTGCCTGCTTCAAATCCCTCCTCTGTCATTTACTAGCTGGCGCACATCAGTAAGTGCTAGCTATTACATTATTTGCTAGCTTAGCATTACTGTGTATAGCTAGTAGCCAGCCTTTGGGGGGGGGTACATGTTTCTCCCCAGTTCCCTACAAATGTCATTAAGCAGCCTTTCCTTCTCTCCCAGTACCCACCTGCCAACCCTATCTGAAGAGAAATACCCAAGGAACAGTTACCTTGGTATTGTCACATCTCTCTTCCCTTAGCAAGAAAGGAAAGGTTCCAGAACCTTCTCTATTCCATAACCCTGTCCTCCCACTCCTCCCCCATCCCTACCAGCTCTCCCTTCCCTGTCACCAAGGCTAAACTTAGGATGAATAACTGACATTTGTATAGTACTCTGCAGTTTTCAGAGTGCTTTAGCATACATGATTTTATTCAGTGCATGGTAAACAGCGGATTTCATCCTTAAAACAATCCTGTGAGCCAAAGGCATTATTTTTTCTCATTTTACAGAAATGCAAACTAAGGCTTAAACAGGTTCACAAGTTGTCCATGCTCACAGGAAGGAAATAAGTCACACCAGGGCTCAAAGCCAGGCCTCCTGACACTGACCCCACTCACTGTTTTCTCTACTGCTCCACGTTATCATGTCCAAGTTCACATCCAGGGAGCATGAGGAGCCTGAAGTTTATGGCCAGTTACAAACTCCCAAAGGAACAGAGATCCCTCATTTTTCTCCCTGCTGACCCGAGTAGAGTTGTCCAGGCTGAAGGACCGACCATAGAGATGAGACACCTGCAAAGCGCAGGCCCAGGTGGGGTGAGGGAACTCAAAGAGGGAACCAAAGGCCCACAAGGGTGTGTTAGATCTGCTAGAACACCGCTGGGTTATAGCAAAGACCACAGGCAGTCCAGGCCACTGGTCAACCCCAAAGGAGTACTGCAGGGAAAAGCCTGAGGCCTTCTTCACCCCAGCACACCTCATAGGCCTCCCTCACCAGTGCTTCCAGGGAGAGGGAAATGGACAAGCTCTCTCTGGCCAGGCTGAGAGCTTGATCAGATGCAGACACACACACACACACACACACACACACACACACACACACACACGTGCGCGCCCATTCAGCAGTAAATTCAGAGCCATGGAAATGAAATCTTGGGCTCATCCAAAGACCAAAGGAGAAGCAGCCACCATCTCCTCAGATGCTGGCTGCCAGGCAGAACTATAAAGTGTACCTTGACTTAATTTTTCCATGGACACAACCCCAGATGGGACCGCGGGACTCTGGAAGAGCTGCAATTCCGATACCTCACAACTGCTCTGCTCTGGGACCCACAGCTGGATTTGGGGAGCGAGGAGTAGTTAGGATCAGGGTTGTCACCCCCCTGGGCCATTTCTCTTCCAATATCTTTCCAAGGCCCAGTGTGGCAAGAGTAAGCTTTCATTCAGCAACTGCTACAGGGTTGGAATTCAGTGCAAATTGGTTACATCTGCTTGGCCATGTCCCAGACAGTCAGGTAGTTGAGAGAGAGAAGGAGGGGCAGTGTTGGCCCACTTCTGGGAGCAGCAGTAGCTCTATGCTAAAGAATCTGGTGCCACGCTGGGACTAGCCAGTCCAGGGTACAAAATTTCCCAGTGGAATAGAGAAAACAACATCAGGGCAGCTGGAGACAATAGATTCTATCCCAGGCATGGCTGGGGGTGGGGGGGGGGGGGGGGGGGGAAGCCACAAAGACCCCAAAAGGGGTGGAGACACAGAGAGAGGTTGGCCCAAGGATCTAGAGCAATGGCAGCTTCTTCAAACACAGAAGGGTGTGTGCACTCATTAACCTCACACATGTGTAACCTCTTTCCACCACCCAGGACCCCGCCAAGCCCCTGGGCTCCCTACCCTACCCCACCCAACCCCAGCTGGGCAGCCTCCCTTGGGCTTCCTGCTGCTGCGGTGGCTCCCCAGCATCAAAGCCACAGCTGTCGGGAGCTTAAAATGAGAGACAAGTACAGACTAGGAGAGCAGCGCCTCCCCCGAGGGCCGGGAACTCGGGCCTGAGGGTCCCTCTCCCTCTCCCAGGCTCTCTCCTTTTGCTGCAGTATCCTTACAAGGGAGAAGCCAAGTCTACCATCCGTCTGACTAAAAAAAATGTATCTATTCCCTAGGCTAGATGCTGACTTTTCGCCCACTGCACGAGAAAGCACCACCCCGCTTCAGAGCAGGTTTTGCTTTTTATTTCCCATATTAAACGAACAAACCCCAAACCCACTGGTTGGCTCAGATCGCCTAGCAGAAAATGTGTTTAAGAGGGAAAGGGGCCCCGGGGGCTCGAGACGCCCCGAAACTGCTGGAGCGGGCTGGCGGTGTGGATCGGCAACCTGCTCGGCGCTGCGGGCTGGCGCGGTCGCCCCCACGGCGTCTGCAGCTCGGCTCGCTCCGGCACCCTCGGCTCCTGCCATTGTTGAGCCTCGGCTGTTGCCATGTTGGTGGGACAGCCCCTTGACCTTCGCTCCCTCCATGCCGGGCCATCTGCAGCCCCTGAGCCGGCGTTCTCGACGGACGCGCGTCCTACCTGTGCTCCCCGCGGGCTCTCTTGCGAGACCCGGCCGCGACGGGGGCGACTGGCCCCACAGCTCCCTGCGTCTCCGGCCCCTCGCCAGCCGGCTGCGTCCCGCCCCTCCGCGCCGCGCCCTCTCCCGGCTCTGCGCTCCGGAGCAGCTGGGAGGCAGGAAGGGGCGCGGGGACCAGCTCCGGGGAAAGAAAAGTCCTCTCGGTTGAGAGCGTGCGCAGCCCGCAGTCAGGCAACCCCGCGTGAGACAATAGCCGGAGCAGCGGGCGACAACCGAGAGGCCATCTCCCGGGAACCCGGCGCACTGCACAGCGACGCGATTCGGCCAGACCTGCCCGCCCGCCCAGGACAGGACAGCACAGGACACGCGGCCGCGGCGCGCCTGCCCCAGCCTCGGCCCCAGCGCGGAACCCCAGCGGGAGGCGGGGCGGGCCAGCAGCTCAGAAGGCTCTCCATCCCTCCCCTCTGCGCCCCTCCCCTCCCTACTCTCCCCCTTCCTTCAGCCTCCGCTCCCCGCCCCCTCCTCCCCTGCCGTCCCCTCGGCTCCCCCGCTTTCCTGCTCTTCCCCTCCCCGTCACCTCGTTCTCTCCTCCACCTTTCCTCCCCTCATCCTCTCTCCTCCCCTCACTCTCCTCCCCTCCACCTCATCGTCTCCTCCACCTCTCCTCTCCCCTTTCCTCCAGCCCTCCTCCCCTCCGACTCCCTCCCTTCCCTCCCGGCTTGGACGCCAGGAGGAGAAACGCTCCAGTGGCCAGTTTTGCTTAGGAAACCCAAGAGCCAAGATTCCCACTTCCCACTTGGGTCAGGGTTTTTGCAGATGGTCACTACTTTTCCCTTTGCACTATGTGAAATAAATGCCAAGTCCTTCTGCTGGAAATGACAGAGTTTTAAGGCCCCGTTATCGGCTTGAGGAATTTCACCCCCCACACCCTGGGTCGTTAGGACAGCGATGCCGGAAAGAACTCCTACTTGAGGTCTGAAGTCGGGGTTGGGGGCATTTGTCTCAGCGCTTGGCTCACTCAGCTCCTTGGTTTTTCTATTCACCCAAGTGGGTCGTCAGATCCGAGCCCCAAAGAATAGTAATCAACGACCTGAGGGGGGAGGGGAGGTGACGGGTCCTCCAACCCAACTACATGGTAAGGGGGAAAAAAAACTTTTTCATAGAGTATGTTATATTTAACATTTCGGCTCTTAACTACCTTTCTTTGAGCGGTGGTCTCTAGAATTTTCCTAAAGGCTCCACCCAAAAGAAACCAATAGTTGACCAGCTCCTCGTTTGCATTTGATTTGCATAATAACTATGATCTCTGTTCTCAAAATTCATTTTCCTCAAAACATGAATCTTGTTCTCCCCCAGGAACACCCCCCCCCCTTCTTTCTTTCTTGCCAGACTATGAAGATCAACACCTGGATCAAAGCCTCCTTCCACCGCAATCAGGTAGCCAGGGTCTCAAGGCTCCTAACCTCACTCAGATGCCCAGAACCCCCAGCTAGGGTTCTCTGAAAACATTTGCCAACCTTACTTTTTGCTGGTCTCAAGGAAATATTTGTTAAAGTGCTACTATTACGGCCTGTCTTGGGTTCACCAGAGTTTTAAAAAGAAAAAAAGACAAAAGTGTCTGAAAGGCATTTTTAAAAATTTCTTTATTAATATGAAACTGCGACAAACCCAACACAATCCTTAGATTCATAGAGTAAGTAGACTTGGAAGAGACTCCAGAGCTCAGTAAGAGGATAACTGTTGGGAAGGGGATTGAAAGGCCCAAAGGATGTCCTGCAGAGGGGAGAAAGCAACTAAAAAGTGAGTTCACTATTCAGAGTTCACTATTTTGTTCTCGTGTAAGATGAAATCTGGGCAAAGGCAAAGGATCCTTCATTGCAGGCGACCCTGAGTGAGGCAACGGGAGGAGAAGCCCATGCGTGAGAGGGGACCGAACTGAGGCTTGTGTTTCTTCTCTCTGCCCACTGCAATGTGACTGTGTGTAGTCAACCTCACCATCTGAGCATCAGTAATATCACTTCACCTGTCGCTCAGGGATAAGGTAAAGATCAAGTGAGAGAGTGTAAGTGAACCGTCTGCACATATATCATAATGTGTATATGGTTTTATTCCGGACCCTGAAGCACCACAGGAGATAAACATGCATTTAGTCACTCACTCATGTTCACACTTGTTCACAATGTAATCAGGCTAAGCTCCGAAGACTGAGAGAACAGAGGAGCATAGGGGCCATCAGTGCTTCAATGCTGCTGGAGTGAAAAGTCAGAAGCAGAGAGCTAACAGGAAGTAGGTCTGGGTTGCTGGAGGATATCAAAGGCTTTCTAATACATTTCAGTGGGGAGAACATTTTGAGTTATAAGAGAAACCCGGGCACGTCAATAAGTTTTGATTTTGTGCTGTTGGTGGCAGAGAACCCAGGGTATAGACAAAGTGGAGCTGGGAGTGATGTGATCAAAAATAAAACTTCCTGGCATATTATACAGGAGTATTTGGAAGATGCAGGTCTTCTGCACTGCAGGTCTTCCCTTTGCTTCTGCAGATCCATCCTCAACTCTCTGGCTTCCTGATAGGGGTTGGCCAATCATGGGAGCCATGAGAGGAGACAGGGAGGAAGCAGGCCAAGGAGGTCTGGATATTTATTCCTCAGGACCCCTCTCTGGTTCACTGTGGACTGGCTGCCACCCTCAACCAAAGATCACAGCTCCCTCCAAGTGGTTCCCTCTTTCTCTCTTGATTCAGATAATCCTTTGAATTTTCAGGCCTGGGGGTATAAACTTGCTTTCCCACTGGTCCCAGGGTACTATACACTATACTCTTTTTTTCTTTTTATTTTGTACTGTGCACAATTGCTGTGGTTTTCCTATACCCAGCCAATCCTTTGTAAATTGCCTCTTCAAATTGGAGTGTGCCATTTGCTTCCTGCCATGTTACGAGTGTGGGGGAGGAACCAATTTTACCCTCAAGATTCTTCTGGCTGGTCTAATCATGAAACAGGTTAGCAAGAAAAAATTAATACATACATATGTATGGGGACCCCGCATACGTGAGAGTATCAGAGACCCCACATGCATGAAAGGCTCAGAGATAGAAAGGGAACATGGGTATATAAGATGTTCTGAGCTAGGGATAAGGTAAGGTGCCATGGGGGCTTCAATAGGTCATTGCAGGAGGATAACAAGAGTAGACCTTCAGTAAACAGAAGTTTGCCCTGCCCTATAAATAAGTTAAAAGAAGTTATCTTTGATCATCTCTTATGGGCAAGACCTGTAATTCAAATTCTTCTAGTAGTTAAGGGTTAGGGGCAGGAGCTCCTTTTGAGCCTGTGGCTAAAGTTGCCTTTTGCTCAAAACAATCTGCATACCACAGAGGCACAAGTTGGGCTGACTCGTTCTGGACACCCACGTGAGTACAGGCTGGGCGTTCCACAAAGAATCCATGGCTGAATTCGGAGTGCAAGATTAGAGAATCTCAAAGCTGTGCCAGGGGTGTGACAGCGAGGATGAAAAGGAAAGGGCAGATACAAGAGATAATTAGGAAGTCAAGTCAATAATATTGATAATGTATTGAATGTAGGGAATCAGGGAGGGGAAGGAATCTAGAATTACTTCCCACGTGACACCTTAGGAATTGGTGGCAGGCAGTGCCATTCACTAAGTGAAGGACTATAGTAAGACAGGGCCCAGGTATATAGTAAGACAATCCCCATGATCGAGGGAGCAATCATGAGTTTAAGTTTGAACATGGTTGGTGTAGGTTGGCAGTGGGTATCTGTGGAATGTTTAGGTGAGGATGTCTAGTAGATAGTGGATTTATGAAACTAAACTCAAAGTAGAGGTGCGGACAAGTGATATCAATTTTGGACGCTTCAGATTATAGGTAGTCAACAAAGTTACGGGCATGTATGAGATCACCCAGGTGGGCATACAGAGGAAGGAAGAGGCCTGCAAAAGAAATTGAGAAAAAATAACCAAGTTGATAGAAAACTAAGACCAATTAAATACATGGTGATGGAAGGAGAACTGACTCTGGGTGGTGAACACACAAGGTGATATATAGATGAGGTATTACAAAATTGTATATGTGAAACCTATGTAACCTTAGTTACCATTGTCGTCCCAATAAAATTGAATTAAAAAAAAAGAGAGAGAGAGAGAGAAACTAAGACCACAGAGTGTCAGAAAGGAGGGTGGGGGACAGTGCCGGGAAAGAAGGATGGGAACACAATGCGGCAGCGACATGCTGGAGGACAGAGCTGAAAAAATGCTCTTTGGATTGGCAAGAACGTCACCAGTACCAGTGGCATGAGAACAGTCAGTTAAAGCAGGCTCCAGTGGCTTAAGGAGCAAAAGAGACACATGAACATAGACCACTTTTACTAGAAGCTCGGCAATTAATGGGAAGGAGAAAAATACAAGGCAGTGGATATGGGCAATACAAAATCAAGGGGAATGTTTTTGCTATGTCCTTTCTTTTTCAGATGGGAAAAGCTTAAACGCGCTCATGTGTTGAGGGGGAAGACAAAAGAGACGGAGAGATAGCTGATGAAAAATATTGCAGAGGAGATGGGATCCAGGCACAGGAGGGTGGAGTTGCCTGGTTTATTATGTTTGAGAGGAAGGGTGCACGAGCACATGCATTTGTGCTAAACCTAGAGGTTAGAAGTTAAGAGAACTGGTTGCTGCCTGACAGTCTCTAAGTCATCTCCTGAGAGAGAAGGGGTCAAGATGGGGCTGAGGATTCAGGAAAGTGGTTAAGGTTAAAATAGCCACTGAAAGGAATAAGAGTGATAGCTTCCTAGAGAAATGGAATTGTCAGCAGAGTCAAGGATATGGCTGGGATGAGATACGTGGTGGCTACAATATGAATATTTTCATCATTTTCTTCTGCAGTGCTTGGAAGCCCAGGTGTAGAATGTTAAATCATTGGGGGAGCAGGGAGGGGTGGCATAATAGGTACAGTTGAAGGGTAAAGTGGAAAGAAGTTACTGACAAAAGAGGATGTGCCCAAGGAGGGACGTGAAGCTGAGAAAAGGCTATGAACCTCTAGTCTTTCTCCAACCTTTTCTCCAACACCCCAGCCAGAGTGATCGTTCCAAAGCCAACATCTGCTTCCCTTGCTGAAAATCAACTAGCATATAAGCTTCACAAAGGCAGTGAATTTTTACTTTGGTTTTTAAACTTCTCTATTCCCAGAGCCTAGAGCAGTGCCTGGTACATAGCATGTGCTCAATAAAATTTGTCGGGGGAAGGCCTTTGGCTGGGGCCTGCGGTATGCCGTTTTACTGAGGGGCTCCGCCTCCCTCTTGGCCTGTTGCTTTTCTGGGTGCCACTCCTCCCTGCCCGCCGCGACATGCACGTTGCACGGCACCAATTCCTCTCAGTTCTTGGGTGCTGCTCAGAGCAGCCTCACCCTTAATACCAGAAAGAAGCTGGAGGGCACTATGGG